CTGGGAGAGTGAAGAGAAGGAGGGACAGAATGGGGCAACTGATTACAAGGGTCTACATATACGTCGGACAGTGTAGGACATGACAAAGTATAAATTATCAAGGGTTCATGAAGGGGGGATGGGGAAGAAGGGGGAAAATGAGGAATTGATACCAAGAGCTCAAGTAGAAATAAAATGTTTTGAGGATGATGATGGCAACAAATGTACAAATGTGCTTGACACTATGGATGTATGTATGGATTGTGATAAGAGTTGTACAAGCCCCCAATAAAATGATTTTTTAAGTTGTAAGAGCCCCCAATAAAATGATTCTTTAATTAAAAAAATACAAGGGGGTTTAAAAATTCATGAAAAAAAATCATCTTTTCATTAGATGTTTTCCATGAACTTTATGAAGTCCCCTCACAGTTCAGATCAGAGAAAAAGCAAGGCTATGCATCTTGCATTATCCAATGGAGTAACCCCCACTAAATAATGCCAAGAGCAAAAAGACAGGTCAATAGTCATGTAGAAAGGCAACTCACTGGAAAACCCAAACAAAAAAATTGCTGTGAAAATATTTTGTCCTTTAGAATTGGGTTTTAAAAAGTGGGGATCTCAATGAGAGGACTTCAAATCTCCCCCATCAGAAATATGGTGGCATGTATAAAACTAACTGCGATAATGTGAGGAAGTTTAGCTCTGGACTTTGAAGAAGTCTGTTGGAACAACACCAGCTAAAGAAATAAGCTGTTGGACCTGACAGGCGGAGTCCATGTGTTGTTTTCAATGATTCTGTTCGTGGTTTTGTTGGGCCAGGCAATAATAACCAGCATGTGCTACTTATACAGTGCCAGAAATATCACAAGATTTCAATAACGAAGAGGGGGAAAAGCAAAGTAATTCATTTGCTGACTGAAACCACAATAAGCTAAAACATCACTACTAAGCCCTCTCCACTTGCCCTGAGCTCAAGGCTCAGAGGTTGGCTAGCAATCTCGTGTGGTAGTAAAGGAACATCCTGTGACTCTATTTGCCTGTGCCAGCTGAAGCAGGTTGAAGATGCAGTTTGCCCTTCAGTAAGGATAAATTCCCTTGACTGTCTTGTATTAGGACCCCTCATGATGTAGTAGGTTATACTTTGGGCTGCTAACCACAAAATCGTTAGTTCAAATCCACTAGCTACTCCATGGGGCTTTCTACTCCTGTGAACAACTAGTCTTAGAAACCCACAGGGGTAGTTCCACCCTGTGCTATAGGGTCCCCATGAGTCAGAATCAACTTGAGAGCAGTATGTTTGTTACAGTGTTTTATATCTCGGAATCAACTCAGTGCCACTCTGATTATAACATTGGGATGCCCGAATGAGCTTCTAGAACCTTCTGAGTTTGTCACCCAACCCATGGGAAAATATAGAATTCCCTTTGAAGAAGGTTCCTAGGGATGGCAGGGGTAGAAGTCTATATTCTTTTAATTTTCCATTTTGATTTTTTTTAAGCACTAAGACACAGATGATGATAGTGTATACTGAAGAAAAATGGCAAACACCTGCAAGGGTTTGGGTCTGCTGGCTCTTCTGTAAATTTAAAATAAATCCTGGTTCTCTTTCTCGGGGAACGGTTTAGTAGTCACCCAAGCCCACCTCCGCCAGGTCCGTTCCAACCCATAGCGACCCTATGGGTCAGAGTCACTCTGCCCCTCGGCTTTCCCCGGGTTGTAATCCCGGGAGGTGGTAGGCTGTCTCATCTTCGCTGGTGGGTTCTAACTAGCCTGTTCAGTCAGCAGCCCAGTAGTTAACTCACTGCACCATCGGGGGCCCAACTTGCGAATCTAGGGCTGAGAGTTGATGCAGGCTCTGGTACCACCTGCAAAGTCCTTTCTCCCCTTCAGCCACACCATTGATTTAGGACACAGTCCACCACTACATCCTCCTTGGGGTGCACAGGAAGTGGGGAGCTGTGAGAAGAGATCCCAGGAAAAGAAACGGGAAAAATAGGGAGGATTTCCCAGGCTCTTGGCCAGGTTCCATCACTACTTCCTGCCTGCAGAGCATAGAAACCTAGCCCACTGCCATCCACGTGATACCCACTCAGAGAGACGCTAAAGGACAGAGTAGAGGCGCCCCCTTTTGGGTTTCTCAGGCTATCAATCTTCGCAGGCTCTGACTGACACACCCTTCTCCCTAGTAACATGTGCACTCCAAGTTCCAGGCCCCAGTTCCTTCACGGCAGCAGACAATGTTATCAATAGCCATCTTCCAAAAAGTTTATTGAGTCCCTGATGGGATGGGTGGCACACTCGCGGTGAGTTTAACAGGAGAAGGAGAAACAGGATACACATGCTTCCGCTCCATCAGATGAGACGGATTTTGGGTTTTTCCCGCAGCCGGAGTTTCTTTGTTGTGAGCAGCTGGACCAGGCCACTGACCAGGCCCAGGACGACGGTCAAGAACAGGGCCATTGCATAGTGGGTAATGCTGCAAAGGGCAAAAGGAAGCGTGTTACTGGCCGGGAGAACCCCTAAGAGGAAAGACCGTTCTAGGCCCATTAACAAAGGGTTTCATCTCTCTTCCATGAGAGTCTAAGAGACACTTTTGTTAACTGCTCTGAGGAAAGCACAGAGCAGGAATTCCAAAGCCCTTTGGTCCAGGCCTCTTTGGTAGGGTGGTGAAAACTCTTACTCCTCCTCTAAGTCATATTTGGAAGTACATCATATAAAATGGATAAGCACACAAGTGGCATATAGAAATTTTAGACAAATATGTCATAGGGTGACACATGTACTTCCTGTAAGAGAGTGAAACTGCCCCATACCACTGCCATCCCTCTATATCACCTCGGGTTCTTCGTGGTGTAGTGAAACACCATGTGACTTCTCCCTGCCCCTGAGGGATTTGTACTCTACCTTGTCCCAATGTCGAGCCAGCTGCCATGATCCTTGACCAAGAAGAAAAAGTGCTGTGAAACAAAGCAAAGCGGGGTTCCGTGAATTAGAAGGAACTTCATTTGGGTCTTAAGCACGTATTCTAGAAGTGTGTGTGATGGATTTCTGACTCTTCGGTGACAAAATGTAAACTTTTCTGAAGAGTTTGCTACTACTAAAAGTGGCAATAGTATAGAAGCCAGATATAGAATAAGTCAATCAAATAAACATGAAAGTGATATTTGTGAATAACCAGAAAACCACAGAGCCAGCCAACTTGAAAGACATTAAGTGATAAAGAAATTAAGTGGAGAGAACCCGTCTCATTCATCCATTTGATAAATATTTACTGATGGCCTACTATGTGCGATCCCTGTGTCTCCAGGAGATAAACTCCCTCTCCAGAGGGGAAAAGGACTAATGAATGATTCAAATGATCAGCCAATTACATGCTTGGTGTGATGCATGTCACCACTGGAAAATCCTGGTCATTGTGGGAAAGAGAGAGGGACACAGACCCCTAATGTGTGTAGAAGGAAGGTGAAATCTGAATGAGAAACAGAATCAGGTGTAAGGGAGAAGCAATATCCTGGCAGAGGGAATGTTCCTTGATTGGTGATTAAGGAACATGCTTAAACAGTGAGTCCAGATAGAGCCTGGCTAGTATATAAAATACAACGGGAGGAGAGTGAAAATGATGCCAGTTAAGTAAGCAGAAGGCAGATTACGAAAGACTTTGTACTTTATGTTAAGAAATCTAAGGAGAGACATGATCAAATAGAGCCATCTTTCAGGAAAAACCACTCTGGCTGCAGGGTGATGGTTGGTTTGAGAGAGAGAAAAAAGAAAAGAAACAAAGATGCTGACCTAGATTAGGGTTGTAGCAATGGGATTGAGACATCAGACAGGATTCAAGAAATAGACAACATGGGCAGGGACGAGGTTAGTAATGAAGACTCAGTAAGGGTATTTGATGTTTGTCTTAGGAGTCGGGGTGGATGGTAAAGTCATTTCCTGAGTCAAGGAGCCCAGCGGGAAGACAGACTTGACAAGAGGCAAAATGTGCATTGAGCATCAGTTCAGCTTGGGGCATGTTGAATAAGAGGTGCCTATATGCTATCCAAGTTACCCTGGTCATCACTTCGGATCGTTCACCTCATGAAAGGGAGCTGATCTCCAGGACCTTGGTATCCTGGACAGGGCTCCTTAGTGTCCTGGGTTACAAATTGTGCAAACTACAAGGTCAGCAGTTCAAATCCAACAGATAGATGAGGCTTTCTGCTCCCATAAAGATTTGCAGCTTCAGAAACCCACAGGGGCAGTGCTCCCTGTCCATCGGGTTGCTGGGAGTCAGGATCGACTTGATGGCAGTGATTTTGCTTTTTTAATGCGCTGTCTAGGGCTTGGACTGCTAACCTCAAATTCAGTGATTCAAACCCACCAGCCAACCTAAGGGAGAAAGATGAGGCTGTCTGCTCCAACCAAGACTTGCAGCCTCAAAACCACCACACAGGGTCACTATGAGTCGGAATTGATTCAGTGTCCGTGGGTGTGTTGAATATGTGCTGTCCAAAGGAGCCCTGGTGGTGCAGTGGTTAGTCATTCAGCTGCTAAGCAAAAGGTCTACGTTTCTAACCCACCAGCTGGAAGAACGATGTGGCCATGCTAACGGCTGTGGAAACCCTATGGGGCAGCTCAACTCTGTCCTAAGAGCTGCTTTGAGTCAGAATGAAGCTGATGGCAGTGAGTGTGGAATGGGCTGTCCAAGCAGATGTGGTCATCAGGAAAAGGAACGTGAACTTGAAGCTCTTGCCAGAGATTTGGTTAAAGATAGAGATCTAGAAAGTCATCCACAGATAAAAGGTAAATGACAAAATAGAAACGATGAAGAAACTCCATGAAGAGGATGCAGAGTGCAAAGAGGACCTGGAAACATCAGCACTTAATTAATAAAACGGGTGGGGGGGGCGGGGAGTGAGGGATATCTCAGTGTTTCAGCCAGAGAAGTGGAGAGCCAACCGGGCGAATGTGGTCCATGGAAACCAAGGGTCAGGACAGTTTCAGGATAGTGTTTAGTTTACAGTCTCAACTGGTGGTAGAGGTCAAATAAGCTGAGAACCAGAAGTCTGTCCATTGAGACGTCAGTGGAGACACAGTTTGAGAGGACTGGCTGGGTGGAAGGGCATGAGGAGAATCTCTAACATACAGCCTAGTTAAAGATGGGTGGGACGGGGGCAGACAATGAGAGGCTTAAGGATACATCTGTCCTTTCTAAAAGATGAGAGGAGAAGAGAGAAAAAGAAAGGGAGAGTAACAGGGATATTATATAATGATTTTTTTAATAAACCCTCACTGCCAACAAGCTGGCAACTATAGCCACCCTATATGACAGGGGAGAACTGTCCCTAGGGGTTTCAGAAAGTAGAACTCTTTACGGGAGTAGAAAGACTCATCTTTCTCCCAAAGAGTGACTGGTGGTTTTGAATTGCTAACCTTGTGGTTAGAATGCCAACACAAAACCACGACACCAACAAGGTTCCTTATATAATGAGAAACAATGTCAATTCACCAAGAAGATGAAGAACTCCAAATTGTGTGTGCACCAAACAATGGACCTCCAAAATTCAGGACATGTTAGAAGGTCCTGGACAGTGTGGAACAGAACTCGGTATCATCAAAGAGACCAGGATGACTGCTCGGGGCCTGGGCAACCCCCAAAACTATGGTCCTACTCATTCTTC